ATGTGATACAAATAATAGACAAGAAGCACAACCCTTAAGCTCTAAATGTAGAGCAAAAACCCTTATATATGGAAAAAAGAACCAAGAGTCTAGCCAGCGGGAACAGGATGTATAGCTGGATGTACAGGGTGACCAAGAATTACCGAAACAACGTCGTATTATGTTATGAGCCCCATTTCACTTTTTGCTTACCTTGCTTGCTTTGCTTTTTGCTTGTTTTTATGGTTTTTGTGTATTTTTCTTATTTTATGGTATGATTACTAACTTTCAATACATTAGTATGATTGTTTTCAGGTATGGTGAAAGCGTCTCCACATCGACAATCGATCCTTGAGCTCAAGCGGCAGCGTGTTCAGGCGAGCGAGATCTCAAAGCGCCTGAATGTCCCCAGAAGATTCTCGAACCATTCAACGTTATGAAACTCTGGGCACAGTTTCTGATCGCCTTGGAAGAGGTGCAAAACGAACAGCGGTTATTCCGGCTCAGTCAATAAAGTGCGCGATCGTCTAAGATTAAACCCTAACCAATCGGCTCGAGGAATGGCACAGGAAATGGGTCTGAAGAGAAGCTTCGTCAACACAATCATCAAGAAAAAGCTGAAAATGAAGCCGTACAAGAAGAACAAATTTTTTTAGAGATGGGCTGCATATTTGGTTAAGCCAGTTAAGGTGAAGCCAGGCCTTTTGTGTGTTGCGGTAATTCTTGGTCATTCTGTATGTATATGTCGTAGCCGATTATGAATGAGTGGGTCTAGGCGCGTCCAACCATAAAATGTTTGGTATCATTCAACGCAGAATCATTCATAATTACGTTACATTTTTTAAATTAGAAAGATTGGATAAAAAGAAAAAAATTACGGAGCTTCAAAGTTTTCTCTCCAACAAACAGTTTTTTGCTCTAATTTTTTTTCTTTTTATTAAATCTTGCTAATTTAAAAAATGTAACATAATTATCAATGATTCTGCGTTGAATGGGATCAAATACTTGATGGTTAGACGCGCCTAGACCCACTCATGAATGACATAATCGGCTACGACATATACATACAGTACTGGACAATGAAATATCATATTTGAAAAACGAGTAGTGTACATCCAGCGTCACAGTAGTGTACATCCAGCATCACAGTAGTGTACATCCAGCGTCACAGTAGTGTACATCCAGCGTAGTGTACATTCAGCGTAGTGTACATCCAGCGTCACAGTAGTGTACATCTAGCGATACATCCTGTTTTGCGTAACTGAGTGTATCGAAACTGATAAATCAGCCAGCTGACTTATCCATCAGCTGGCTGAAGAACGAAAAACGCTATTAAAAGCTATCATGCTAATCCTATCATGCTAATCGATCAATCTTGGCTATAAAAACCTCAACTCATTCAGTCCATATAGTATCGAGCTGGCGTTGAGGTCAAACATTTAAACGAATCAGAAATTCCCTTTTTTGCCACTGTATCTTTGATGTGCAGGATTGCAGAAATGGCTGTAATCCTTTCAAGCAAAGAGTGAGAGAAAGGAAGTAAACTATTTGCTTAATAAATTCTCAAAATTCTCGCTTCAATGATCTCTGTTTGTGTGCCTTAAGAAATCGTTGGCTATTCGTGGATACCCTTTCACAAAAATGTGCCAAAGTTTGAAGAGCAACGAATCAAGGCTGAAAACTTTTCAAATTGCAAATGCAGGTCCGTGTTTGTTTTTTATAAGGTGAGAGAAATTGAACGGAACAGAATTCTGGTCGTTGAAAAGTCAACTTTTAGACCAAAGTTGATGGAAAATTGTAAGGAAATCAAAACCAAAAAGAAGAAAATCAAAGAAGACATGTGCCCAGTGTTTTTGGTTGATTTGAAAAAGATTTTCGTTGCATATTCTAATTTAGCATCAATTTAGTCAGATGCTCATTGAATTGAATTGAATTCGAAAATTGAATCATTCATTGAAACGGAGAAAATGATTATCAATAGGTGGCTGTTCAGCAGTCAACCTTCTAGATGCTCACGAATTCTCCATCACCTTTCGAAATGAGACTATGCTTATTCGATTGGAATTTTTTTTTTTTCTTCCAAATATCATAGTTAAATGTGTGTTAAGGGGGATGAAAGAGGGTAAAAAATGACTTCAAAGTTCATGATGTTTGAAAGGTTTTTTTAAATTCCTGGTACACCATTTTCGTCATAGTGGCTACGGAGTTCTAAAAAGTGAGCCGTGGCCTCGTGGTTAGTGTGGCTATGTGATACGCTTTTTGCTTAGTAGTTCGATTCCGTGTTACCCTCCTTTTCGTTCTTTGCGGCAAGCCATAAACATACATTTTAAAACTAGTTTTACTAATTTCTAAGTTGCAATCTAATTTGAGATGAGAAGTGGCGTTTTTCCGGATTCCTCTTTCGTAGTAGGATTTTGGTTTGTGTGTGAGACAAGTGTGAGACTCAAAAATCGAGGACTGGAGATGGAGACTGGAGATCCCAGTTTGAGCACTTTCTTCAAAAGAAACCCATGTTGGTATCAATGGAAAAGTTGTAGAGAATCAAAAATTAGGCTTATAGCCAAATTTTCAAAAAGATACACTTAGTAGTTTTGCTTAAAATGCAAGTTTTGTGAAAATTCGTAAATTTGGCATTTCTTGAAAACCAGTTTTTGAATCGTTCTGAAAATTAGGATATAAGCTTGATTTTCGATTCTCTACAACTTTTCCATTGACACCAAAATGGGTTTCTTTTGAAGAAAGTGCTTAAACTGTCACATATGACAATCGCCGGCAGTTTTCAATTCACCAACCCAATAGTAAGCTTTTATGGTGCATGAAAAAGTTTTGCAAAAAAGAAAAATTTCCCTCAGCAACAACTGGAAATAAACAGCCAATTTATCATTCACAAAATCGTTTTCCTCTTCCGAATGTATCGACGCCAATTGTGAGCCCATCAGCCGGCAATTTTGATCGGCTGTCGTGAAATCCACATTGAAAACCACCTGCGCATCTCAATACGGTCAATACGAATCAGCAATTTACCCTGTAACAAAATTTGAGTCTTTCAGAGTAGACCCAATCCGTTGGACATGGTGAATAGAGGGAGCAATTTCTGGAAAACCAGTTTTTGAATCGCTCTGAAAATTTGGCTATAAGCCTAATTTTTGATTCTCTACAACTTTTCTATTGACACCAAAATGGGTTTTATTTGAAGAAAGTGCTCAAACTGGGACATCTCCAGTCTCCATCTCCAGTCTCCATCTCCAGTCTCCATCTCCAGTCCTCCATTTTTGAGTCTCACACTTGTCTCACACACAAACCAAAATCCTACCACAAAAGAGGAGTCCGCAAATTGCCTGTAAAATGGGCAGAAGTCGTCAATAATAATGGAAATTATTTGGAATGAATTCATGGTTTTATGTTGAATAAATTTTAGTTCAAAGTCTGGCAGTTTTCAATGCACCAACCCAATAATTACAAAGTTCCACAACAAGCTAGAGCTACACTGGGCTGGGTCTATATGGATGAATGATACTTCAATTGAGTCCTACCTTCGAAGGGTTCTTAGTGCTCCACTATTTGGAAAACCATTAATCGTCTGGGACAACTTTTCTGTCCATAAATTTTAGTTTAAAGTCCGGCAGTTTTCAATTCACCAACCGAATAACTATGATATTTGGAAACAGAAATATAATTTCCAATCGAATGAGCTTGATCTCATTTCGAAAGGCAATGGAGAATCCGTGAGCATCCCTAGTTAGTTCTTGCTAAATTGTATCTTCAAAAATCTTGTAATTGAACTTTTCTCGAATGAGGACTTTTATTGAACAAAACAGTGACCAAATCTAAGCTCATTGTTGATAGAAATTCAACAAAATCTGTTTCCATAAGTCTTGATCTCAGTTGCTGGCCGCATTCACCTACCAGCAACGCTTCGGCCCGCCACCGCCCATCCGCTCGCCACCCCTTTCAAAGCTGTTTACATAGTTTTTGATTCAAACAGCAAAATACCAAAGACGAGTTGGTGAGATTTCTCTTGGACAGCAGCATTGAACAGCAGATTGTTTGCTCAATCTTTGGCCACAAGAAATGATCGGATAGAGTTATTTACAACTACCATATTGGGGGAAAAAGATGGATATATAACGTGGAAAGAGTCAAAGAAAAGCACACAGAGAAAAGCGAAAAATCGACGATAAATATTAACCCGTTTTACTTTAGGAAACTCAACTTTGTGCCCTATTTAGCTCATCTTATTTTTGAATGTGTTTTCGTTTTTTAAAGCCCTGTCTTTTGGGCTGATTTTTGTCTCATTGAAGGTCATTTTTAGGGCATATTCGACCTAGGCACCGATTCTAAACAACATTTTACCGTAATCTAACTGTAACTTTATTTGATTGCGCTTTTCTCGAGTCAAGTTAGCGATTTCTTAAACACTAAAGCTAACCAATGGGAATAAACCGTTTTTTGACGTTTAAGTGTTAATGAATTGCTTTCGGATTTGAATCGATCGTAGAATAATAGATACTTTTAAACATCATCAAAGATCAGTCACAGGAAATCAAAGAATTTGACTAGACCGACGCTGACTCGTTGAAGTCCAATACTAGATTTCTGAACTTTTAATCAACTTGAGCAATTAGAAAAGTTCTCTACTTGCTTGCAGTTTTGTTCTCGCAATTCTTCAAAGTTGCTCTTGTCGCACAATGAAACAAATCTCTTCACAGAAAGCGCTCGAAAAGCTCTCAAACGAGAAAAAGAGATACTTTTGAATAAACTTGAATTCGATAGCATAGCATATCAGTAAAAGATTGTATAAAATAAGATAAAGAGATAAAAATAAGCTAGCTAATAAGATAGACAAGCTTCCGATTCTTAAAGTCATCTCTAGAGATGAGATTATGCATATAGCCATCAGAGTAGAGCCAGCCATGCCCATTCAACTTGTCTTGAGCTTAGTATTGGAGTTTTTTTTGTATTTCTCTAGTTCAAGTTTCAAAAATGAACTACACATTGAGACTAAGGCTTTATTTAGCGCCATGGCAGCCATCAAAGTGCCCGAGTTTCCGAAAGCAAAGCTGTTGGGATCGAGATTTCGTTTTGCTCTTCTCATCCTCCTTTTCCTCTGTCTAACGGCAATTTGGTGGGTTTTTGACAATTATTACAGAATTACACACTCTTGGAGACCTTTGAAATGAAACTGCAAGTTCTTTGTAACTCAATTAACTTCAGGTCGAATATTCTCACCTATAACATCGCCATCGTTTGCATGTCAGCCAACTCGAGTTCCAATCACGATGTGCACACACGCATTTTCACAAACGGTCAGTTTTTCACCCAAATTAGCTTCTGATCTCGTAGATTGAGATAATTTGCTAGAATTTCGCTATTGAACTCCTTGTCAACTTTTAGATCTGTTTTCGAAACATAAAAGTCTATCTGTCGGTTTGTCTGTCTGTCCGTCCGTCCGTCCGTCTGTCTATGGATAGTCCGGCAATTATGCTATTGCTCAGTGTCAATCGAGAATATCTATGGATATTTTGAGACGCTATGAATTCAATCCATCACTTACCTATATTATAATCTTAAAAAACGTGTTTGTCTGGCTGTTTGTCGGTCTGTCTGCCTGTCTGTCTCTGTATTTGTCTGTCTGGCTGTCGGTTGGTCTGTCGGTCGGTCTGTCTATATGTCTATCAGTCTGTCTGTCGGTCTGTCTGTCTGTCGGTCTGTCTGTCTGTCCGTTCGTCCGTCCGTCCGTCTGTCTATCTGTCTGTCTGTTACCAAGTTTTCACCTCAATTTTCAGCAATAGCTGGGTGGAAGGAGTATAATAGGGGTAATTGAGGCTGAGGAATCATCAGATTCATCAGATTTGACAACGTTTTTGAGGCGAAAAATGCAATTTTATTAAAATTAGAACACGACCCGATCGTTTGCGGAGAAGAGAGGAAATTTCGCATGCTAATTTACTTGAAATGCAAATTTGTAGGAATAAAATGAGACTGGGGAAATCTTCATATGTGTGACGAAAATTCACCAAAAAAAAGTCTAATAAGACGCTCGAAATATCCTAAACAATGTCGCGCTCGCACGCGTATATAAGAACGCCTCTTTCTCCATTTAATTGGAATTTTCTCAGATTTTGCCTTGTGAAAATTAGTTTCTTTTGCTCGAGATACTTTGACAATTTTCATCACAGCGATTCCTTGTTGTCTCTAAGTCAACACATTGTTTCTTGGAGCTTCGTTGAAACATTTTCACACTCTTTGCCCCACGTGTATTGAATAAACTTGGTTTTGTTATTTATACAAGCAAAGTCTAGCTGAAAAACACCGCAGCACGGGTTTTTCAGCTGTAACTCGCGAGCAATAAATGATGAAAAAGAATTCAGGGCAATCGACGTTGGCCGTCGTCTTCGTGGCCATCGGCAACATCATAGCCGCCATGCCGGTGATCATGCTCGTCAATCGCTATGGGACGAGGACCGTTCTCGGCGTTCTGGGCCTCTGCTCCTCGGTTGCCACTTTTTTCATCCCATTGGCCATCAGGGTCAGTCACTCAACTCTAAAGCAGACGTTCGTCTGTTTTAGATTTGATCATGTTGCTAGCTTAAGAGAAATGTAGAAAGATCAAGTCGTACCTAGTTCATGCCACGGCCCGACCAGGCCAGTCCTTTGAGCCAATCCTTTTCCCGATGTTACGAATTTAATTTGCCGACTTCCCTTACCTACATCATTTTATCGACTAGAGGCTGTTCACCTTGGACTGCGGATATGGGTACAATCCGTTACGAGATTCAAATTGGTTCCCTCGGTCTTCAAGAACCCAACCATGCGCACGAGACGCCACAGAAAACAACAGGAACGGAAACAATGTTGCTATCTTCAGTTGAACCGTTTCCAGCTGTCCATTCCCTAACCAGAGAAGAGAATTCTGGCCTGGGTCTAGCTAGGCTCAGGCTCGCCGAGTTCATTTGCGTTAGTTGCAATGATTTGCCCAGCTAGGTGTCACCAGGCTCACTTGCGAGTTCTAGTACTTACTAGAACTCACCCGGAGATCTTAGCGACTAAAAGAGCACATTCATAGAAAGCTCCATAGAAAGCTTCATAGAAAGGTCCTTTTAGCACTCGATCGCCGCCTTCTACATTCTGCGAATGATCCAGGGAACCGCGTTGGCCTGTAATTTCCCCGTAATCGGCTATTTCACAGAGCGATGGACCTATTTCAAACAGGTTTCTTTTTTCCAGAAAAAGTGGCAGATATTCGATTAGAGTTTCGTATCAAATTAGAATTAAATTCAACAAAAATCAATTAAATGGTTCATTTACAGAATGGGATGTTCATCTCGGTCCTGGTCACCTATCTGCAACTTGCGCCCGCCTTCACGAATCCTGTATCTGGAGCTCTATGCAGTGCCGCAGGGTGAGTACCGGATTGTAGGTAAAATCAATTTGTTGTCATCAACAGTCGCTTGACTTGTAATCCGATCTTTTCACCAAAAACTGCTTGAATCCGATTAGAATAATTTGGCCAATAGATACAGTCAAGTCTATTGAATGATATGGATCGCTCTATTGTCTGCCAAAACTCGATTGCCATGTCTGCCAAAGAACCAAAATCTTTCTAGATGGCCAAGTGTTTTCTACTTCCACGGCGGTCTCTCGCTTGGTCTTTTCCTCATCTATGGTTGGTCGTTTGCGTTTCTTTTCCTTTGATAATTCGCTTAGCGGTCGTTTTCCGAAATAATCCCGAGAAACACCCGTTTGTTGGAAACACCGAGAAGACGAAGATCGCGAAAGGGAAAATCACTGCTGAGTCGGTTTATATATCAAAAATAATTCTGCAACTGCAACAATTTCAGAAAGCCTCCCGTTCCCTATTTGTCGATCATTAAAACGCCGGCGATTTGGGGTGTCTGGATCGCAGGATTGGGCAATTTCACTGTCATCAATCTATTGTTCCTCTACACGCCCACCTATTTGCATAAAGGTGATTTAAAGTTACAGAATTAAAGTGGAAGTATAGATGATTAAAGCAATTTTAAACTAAGATCTTCCACGATTAACAGACTTTTTTTTGCAGTTGTCGGTTTCGGCGAGACGAGCACGGGTCTCACGTCGGCCATTGTGCCGATCGCTGAGGGAATCGTCAAGATCATCAGTGGTTGGTGAACCTGTTTAAGTAGCAGACAGTTTGATTAGCATATCAAACGATTCGTAGACATTTTCCAAGAAAAATAAGGCTTTAATCGGGTAGTCTTCGAAATACAATCGCTGATTCCGAGGCTTGTGGCCATCTTTCTGATTGAACGAGTGGGATTTCGACGGATTCGGCATCTGACTTTGTTTGTGTTCTCTGAAGTGACGTCTGTGGTTGATCGGCCGCTTCTTGGACGATCGTTGATCGCTGATCGTTGCCTCGTTCCTTGAATCGTTCAATGGTTCGATAGACAGACTTTTTTTGGATATCCGGTGACTCGAACAATCTCCATTGGTATCTTTCCGGCTTTGTGCAACTCAAGTATCACAGTGCGCCTCTTTTAGCATCCATATTGAAAGCGAACCTAAACAAAAACGTTGTTTCTTGTTAAAAATAAGGAAAAACAGTTTAACAAATTTAAAAAAACAAAAAGTGAGCCAAATACTGTTTTTTGAAATTTTATACCGCGGTTTGAAAGAAAGTGTCAGAACTTTTGTGTGCCGCACCCTGTAGAATCTCGGAAAATCATACCGTAAAATAGATATCATACTAAATAGATAGGTAATTCAATGTAAAAGACTTCATTTTCTACTTATCGTAAATACTGTAATAGTACCGCACCGCCCTCGTACAGTCGCGTAGTCGCAAAAGTTTTTGAGTATTTCATTTTTTTCAAAGCGCCTGTACTTTCAAAAAATGCGTCTTTAGTATCAAAAAATAGCCCTGAATCTCAGCTATTTTTTGATACCTAAGCCAACATTGTAGCATAAACCAGTGTCGAGAAAAACTCGTTCAAAGCTAGACGACGCAACACTCCGCACCGTCATTATGGGGCTGGGGTACTATTACAGTATTTACGGTATGTATAACTTCTCTTATCTCTTTTCTGGATTGAAACCGGTCAAACATCAAATAGCCAATAAAAAAATAAGCAAATACAAATACAAATTACAAACACAAATTACAAATACAATATTGCAGGCGTTGTCTCGGATAAACTCCCGATCCGCGAATCGATCAAAGTTCGCCTATTCAACACGATCGCTTTCATCGGGTCGGCCGTCTTTCTCGCTATCATCGCTTTCGCAAAAATACACAATGGAGTAAGTGCGTTAAGCTTTAAAGAATAATTCTGATCAAGAAGCTTCTAATGAAAAAAAGTAATCTCATCTAGAATAATTAGCTGATGAACGTGGTTTGCTTTAAATAAAAAAGATTAACTATTTCATTTAGCTCTTTCTTAGACAAATTTCAGCCCGCTTTGAAGCAAATCCAAACGAGAATTCTTGTTTTTCTTGAAACCTAAACAATGAACATAGAATGAAAACGGCTTGATGAAATCTTATGAAAATTTGTTGATTTGCCTAACTTTTCATTCTCTATCTTTTGTCTTTGGAAGCCAAAATAGGTTTCTGTGACAAAAGGTCCTCAAATCGGAGCTTTGAGTTTCATTTGATTGCTTTTTGACTTTGACTTGGCTTTGTTTGACTTCGTTTTTCACTGTTGGACTTGACAGCTTTAAAAAAAATAACCAAAAGGAGCTTTTCAAAATTTCTTAGAGTAATTTGTAAATAAATAAATATAGGACTTTTTAATAAAACAAACCATAGATCGATTGATTCATCATTTATTTCAAAAAGTCACTTTTAAAAAGGCGGGCAAAACTCTCCGGCCAATCTGATAATTGTTGATGACATTGTTTTGGAAACCTTGGTGCGATTTCAGCCGGTGAGTCTCGTGTTGCTCGCGTTGTCGGGCGGTTTCATCGGTTTGAACACCGGCGGATTCTATCGAGCTGCGCCGATTCTCTCGAAACAATTCGGGTGGGTGAAAAGTGAAAGAAGAACACTTTTTTTTGGGAAACAAGGCATTTCGTGAGATTTCTACCAACAAATCGAGTTAAACTAAACAAATAGACTTTGGTCTATTTGTTTAATTTAACAAATTGTTAGGTCTGTATCTGGCGCAAAGCAGAGAACTTGAACATCTCAAAGATCATTGATTCTGTGTTACTTTTTGATGTCTCTGTATATGTGTTGTTTAATCGAAAGTATTAGATAAGATATACAAGAGAAATAATACAGAAGAACAAGAGAAATAATGCATACAATGCAGCTCGTTCGTGACCGGAGCCATCTCTTTGTGCATGTCGATCACGATGTTGATTCTCCCGTTTTTTGTCCAAGGAGTCGCCAAAAAGAACACCGAGGGCCAATGGGAGATCGTCTTTTTTGGGGTGTGCCGGTGTGATTGTTCGTTTTTTTTCATCTGAAACTCTTTATAGAAACGATTCGGACAAACGATTCAATTAAAAAAAAACTGTCCACTCTTTATCATATTAGGTTGTCCAGTTATGAATGCGCGTTTTTACTATTTTGTAAATTTCTCAAGATATCGAACAGATGTATATGAGTGTTATATATCATTCGAAAGCTGAAGATCTCCTCTACATTTTGGAATTAAAATGTTTTTGAATTCATTCAACTTTTTGGGAAATTGACTGCACAAAGGGAGAGGTCGTTTTCAAAAAAAAAACCCATTCCAGCTTAGCTATTCCTCAAGTTTTATGGTGTAAAATAACCGCCCAGAAAAGAAAAGAAAAGTAAAGATGCTCTGAAATTGTTATATTTTTTAAAAAGTTGTATTGATATATCTATTGGCTAAACATCAAACGGTTAACTCAATTTGAGCGGAGCCAAAACTTGATCCAAAGGCACCCTTCCATTTTTTGGCCACCTCTTCTTCTGTGCAGTCAATTTGCCCAAAAGCTGAACAAATTCAAAAAATTTTTTTATTAAAATGTAGAGGAGATTTTCAGCTTTTGAATAATACTCATATATGTCTTTTTCTTGATTTCAGTATCTTGAGAACTTTACAAAATAGTAAAAAACGCGCATTCATAACTGGATAACCCAATAGAAAAAAGATTGACAGTTTTAAAGTTGATTTTTCGAAAAATTTAAGCAAAGAACATTTTCAGTTTGTCTCAAACATTTTCTTCGTGATTCTCGTCCGGGGTGAACCTTGCTGGTGGACAAAGGTTTGTCCAAACGATTTTGAAAATGAGTGAAATGATTTTCAGTCAAAAAGTGGTGTCTTCTCTTGAAAAAAGGAGACTATTCGGGAAAATCTAATAGGAAAAATAAGATAGTTCTTTAAATTGCAAAAAGTGTCAACTCATTAGATTTGAGTTGACAAATAAAATCATTAGATTGATATCCGGTTTGGAATCGAGATTGAACCGGATCCGATTGCTTCGGATCGAGATTTGATTCGATTCGTTGAGCCGCTCTATCGGATTGAACCCGATCCGATTCGATCCGAGAGAATTTCAATCGGATCGCAAATCTAAAGCCTACCACTTTTCAAATGAACTAATCGGCCAAATGATTTAAAAAGAGCAAAAACAAACTCATTCAGGTGCCTTCGGATCAAAGCCAAACAAGCGACGACATTCCGCCTCAAGGCACCGATAGTAAACTCGAGAAAAACGAGAAAGAAAGCATAAATGCCTAACGTGCATGTATAAAGTAAAGATTTTTGAATTCTTTTCCTTTATTTATGTATCGTCGAGAATAAAGAATTTACAGAATTTACATTTTCGGCTTTTTGGCGTCGGATCTCGTTGATTTTGCCCGATGTTTATCAATGGAAATTCTTGTTTTTTCCTAAAATCCCTAAAGAGGACATAGAATGAAAATGGCTTGGTGAAATGTTATGAAAATTTGTCTATTAGCTTAACTTTTCATTCTCTATCTATTGTCTTTTGAAACCAAAATAGGTTTCTGTGGCAAAAGGTCCTCAAATCGGAGCTTTGAGTTTTATTTGATTGCGTTTTGACTTTGACTTTCTTTCGTTTGACTTCGTTTTTCACTGTTGGACTTGACAGCTTTTAAAAAATTAACCAAAAGGAGCTTTTTAAAGTCTCTTAAAGAGCAATTTGTAAATAAATAATGGGAATTTCTGATAACACAAACGATAAATCGATTGGTTCATTATTCATTTCAAAAAGTAAACTTTAAAAAAGCGGGCAAGACTTTCCGGTCAATCTGATAATTGTTGATGGCATTGTTTCACTGTTCGACTTGACAGCTTTAAAAAATTAACCAAAAGGAGCTTTTTAGAACTTCTTAAAGGACTATTTATAAATAAATAATAGGAATTTCTGATAACACAAACGATAAATCGATTGGTTCATTATTCATTTCAAAAAGTAAACTTTAAAAAAAGCCGGCAAGACTTTCCGGCGAACATGAAACGAGTGACGTGTTTTTGAGGGTTTTAGAGATAAGAGACAAGAGAAAAGAAGTCCTATCAATCGCCGTCTTTCCCTCCATTGAATCATGCACAAACTAACCGACCTTTGTGATGAATTTCCCGTTTTCTCAACTTCCCTTCGAATTAGAAACAAAGATTCTCGAAAGAACTCCCATCGTCTCGACTCCGATTTTTCTGAAAACGAGCCAAAGTCTAAGAGAATATTCTCTCGTTCATGGGCCTTTCTATTGTCGAAGAATTCACAAGTTATGCATTCGGCACGACCAAGAATGGACGGATGAGAGGCAAATAACGTGGACTCGACCTGGATGGACTCTCACTTTTGTCAACGAGCCTTGTGAGAGAATGACGACATTTAGTTGCTCTTTTCAAAATTCCCATTTCTCGATTCAATGGACTGAAGATCAAGAAACCTTAAACTATTCCGTTTCTCCACACCATTTCTTGGGAATTCTCAAAAACCTTTTGTCTGGAATCAAAAGTTGTCAAGGATTCAATCCAGCTCGTCACAATCGACTGCTCCCCGAAGAAGATCCACTGCCGATCTATTTGAGATTTGTCGGTAAGTATCGGCTAGGCTTTTTTTACAATGGAGAAGAATTCTTGAAAATCTTAAAGAGATTTCATCCGATTTTCGCCGATTCCTTAGAACTTTCGATTGGCCAAGAATTCGTGAGTTCTCCCGAAAACGATCAGGAAATTCTCTCATTTTTGAAGCCAATAATTGAGAATATTGGAAATGTTGAACTCAACGATCAAAGTGGGCATTTCGAGGAGTATTTCTACAATAATTTCAAACGAGCTAATGCTGTGCTTTTTAATACGGAAGAGAACATAGAGAAAGCCATCAAAATTGTCGAAAGAGTTCTGAAGAACGGCTTTTCAAGTCGGCAATTCGGCGTGGACTTTGATGGAGTCAAAATAAATTGTGAGGTAGAAAGATTGGCTGAAAAAGTTGATCTTATTTTAAGAAGCGACGCCTCTATTCGTGAAGTCAGCGATGAACAATCGAAATCGAAAATTCTCGATCAATTCTTGAGAGCTAAATGGAAATGGAATCTCATCGAAGGCGAGCAAAAGAAATCAATGGTGGACTATGTGAAAGAGACATTGCCCGGCATCCATATTCCAGTTTTCCATCATGAAAAGCATCAATATGCAATCGTGACTCAACCTTACTCAATCGTGACTCAACGTTGGCATTTTTTGATCTATTTCTGGAGATACCAATTGGAAATCGAGTTGGAGAGTTGCTAAAGGTTTGTTTGAGATTTGTAACAATGTATGTAATGCATGTTTGGATGTAGTTTTTAGATGTTTATACCGTATTTCTTTGAATAGAAGACCGAGTAAAGAGTATCATCGCGTACTCCTGCGTAGCAGCCCTTTTTAAAATTTCTTTTCTGCATAAAAGCTTTCAATCAAGTGCTATAGAGCTGGAAAATGGCTCAAAAATCTGTTAGCTCATGTGGTATTTTTGAGCCATTTTCCAGCTCTATAGCACTTGATTGAAAGCTTTTGTGCAGAAAAGAAATTTTAAAAAGGGCTGCTACGCAGGAGTACGCGATGATACTCTTTACCCGGTCTTCTATTCGAAGAAATATGTAGTTTTTGTTTGTATGTGTATTCCCCTTCTCAATTCATATTTTTAGATACTTTCTTTAAAAGCGAGTCTGATCATCAACACTGATGTCAACACTCAGCAACACTTTCAAAGCTTCACAAGAAAAAGCAAATAAACTAAATTCCTGCCGCTTTTCGAATTTGAATACATCGGAGATTGAATATTTAAAGAAACATTCTTTTCGTGCTTGGTACTCTTCACTCAAGACACGTTATTTCTTGTTTCGAGATATCTGATCTCACTTGATCTGATCTGATCTCACTTGAACTAAGACACTTTATTTAATAGCCGACTGACTCGCAATGTTTGGGCTCACTTGAGCTCTCACTGGAGCTCTCACTTGAGCAATTTTCACACAAAATCGACATTTGAATTAAAAGCGACGATAAAAACAGAAACAAACAGAAACAATTTCGTCCTAATTACGACACAACTTTCACACGATGAAAGGAAAGTAGAAAAAAATAAAACGCATCAAATGAACAACAGTTGCCTTATATAGGCTTTAACACAAGATATTCAGCTAACAAGCTACAAAACAACCAATGATTTGAGGCACGAAATAGAATGCAGGCGCACGGATTTCCGCGATATTTTTTTAATTTTTAGGCTGTCAGAGTTAGGCAACTTTTTAGTGGCTATTCGCCACAACATCTTTTCTAATTAAAGTGAGCAATTACTGGAAACCTAAATGCAAAATAAAACATTATTTATTGATGAAAATGGGCTATCTATTCAGATTTTGTATAGATTTCAGATTTCCTATTTTCTTTTCAATTTTAAGAGAGGTTTCCCTCAACCAAATGACTGTATTAACGTTTGTTTCGAGAAACTTTGCACATTGTAAAACCTTGTAAAACCTTTGAAATCCTTTGATCTTGCAAAACCTTTGATCAGCATTCACTACATCATCAAGATAGAGACAACCACTTTACGTTTGATGGTTTCGATCATTTCACAAGGCTCATGTCTGACTGCCTCATTTTATCCACGGCGATTTACGTCACCATCACCTATACGATAGTATTAGATTGATGCATAAGTCTCTGTTATTAGCTAAAGAACATCTAGAGTTATCTAGAGTCACAAGAATATCTAGAGTCACGAGAATATCTAGAGTCACGAGAATATCTAGAGTCACAAGAACATCTAGCGTCACAAGAATATCTAGAGTCACAAGAATATCTAGAGTCACGAGAATATCTAGAGTCACAAGAACATCTAGCGTCACAAGAATATCTAGAGTCACGAGAATATCTAGAGTGAGTTCTTTCTAGGTTAGTGCATAAGTCTTTACAATTTTTTTCAAAACATCATTTAAAAATAATGCCGCCACCAACAAAATCTTCATTTAAACCATTAAAATGGTTACTGTTACTTGTTAAAAGACGCGTAAAAATTGAATTGAAAAATTGAAATTTCAAAGCTTCAAGGGACTTTAAAGAGTTGAAGAAAATGAAATTGAAGGTTTAAAGGGGTCTTTTCAATCACTAGAATATAGGCACTGGTGGCCTAGTGGATAGTGGGACGGCCTCTCGGTGGTAAGATCGGGATCGATCCCGCTGTTGGCTTTTGGTTTTCTATTTCTTTAGATGTAATACTTTATCTTGTAACTATTCAATATAACAAAGCAAAAGGTGAAATGTTAACATATATGAAGCCAAATCAAGAGGCATCCAAAACGATAAAAATTTTCTGATAACATCTGATAAAAGCAATTTGTCTTTTTTAAAATTACGATTTACATCACAATGAGCAATGAACGGGTAAAAAGCTGTAAAGTATATTACATTCAAAGAAAAAAACCAAACACCAAAAACCCAGGCCGGGACCGAACCCTGATCTCGACACCCGAAGGCCATCCCACTATCCACTACGCCACCAATGCCCATCACTGAAAAGCGCCCTTTAAACCTTCAATTTCATTTTCTTCAACTCTCTTGAAAGTCCCTTAAAGCTTCAAAATTTCACTTCAATTTTGACTCGTTTGCAAGCTTATTTTGCAGATTTTGATTATCAGATCATGAATCTCCATACTCGATTTAGTAAGATGTATGTGATTCGGAAACGAAAGCACACGAGAAGTTTGTGCCTTTCGCTAGTAAGAGTTTCAGAAACTTTGTCTTCTACTAGGCTTCGAAAGTAAAATAATCGACTATTCTAAGAGATTCGAGCCTGGATCGTGATCGTTAATTTAGCCAAATGTGCAATTGTGTAAATCTTTACCGAACATCTAAAGAAGGTATGATAAATGTGTTTTTAAACGAATAAAATCTGAAGAAGAAAAACATAAGCGTAAAATATCGTTGCCTCTAGTTCCCTAGTTTTCTGACTGAGAATCATAATTGAACATTTAAAGTCCGATAGACGGTGATCACAAATAGGAAAAGCATCTCGAATATCAAGAGAATCATTCCGAACATCAGTGCCATGGAATATAAAGGCATAAGCAAGGAATTGGTAAACGTCTGGACTCGGAAAATAAGCTATCAATCGTTAAGTGCTGATGTTAGCAAAATTATGTTAGATAGGTGATTCAGTGAGTCGAAAAATGTCATTAAATTGACGATGCTTTGCTTTTTATTTTCTCTAATTCCCTCATTGATAGTTT